TAGTTCTAATTATAATTATTTCTTTTGAATAGAGTTGTTATCAGATTCAAAGATTGAAGAAGATAATTTTTTTTCACATTTTATTGATGAACAGAATAAAACCAAGCAAAGTTCACATTGTCAAAGAGTTTCAAGTTTTAATATGAGTTTTTTTGGTTTTTACACCACTGAATGTTAATGTGGAGGTCTTAAAATAATTGAAAAAGATAGGTAATGTGGAGGTATTAAAATAATTGAAAAAGATAGGTATAAAAGAATAGAAATAGATTATTTATAATATTGTGATCCGATAAATGTGTGAAGCATTTTACCTCCAGTAGTTAAACAAAATTCTTTAATATCGTAACTTTTTACAGGATAAAGTTTTAGCTGATTTAAAAAGTAGGTTTTCCAAAATATTATTGGCAACTTCTGCGATGGAGTAATTAAAAAACTTACATTTATTTTTGGAATTTTAGTTTGAGTTACTCAAGCATAGTTTGAACTTTAAAGTTCATTTTTCATTGTTTTGCTATTTGGTTTTATGAGCTAAATATGTTAATCAATCTTTTTATTCTTGTTTGTAGAGATGCAAAATGTTATTCTCAACGAGCTTGCAGAAATAAAAGTTCTTTTAAAAGAAGTTATAGAAATTAAGTTTCAGGCTACTGGGGTGAAGTTGCTAGAATCAGTGGACGAAGTAGTTACACTGAATAATAAACTAAAAGATAAAACTGAGTATACTAGTTTGGTATAATCTAATTATCTTAATTTTTAATAAGTTTGTTTAAATTTGGTTTACTAGTTTAGAATCTAAATGAAAAGTATTTGTAAATGAACTAAAATAACTAGCTTATGTTAGACTCAATATGTTGTAAAGAAATTTAAGTTACACTAGTTTTTATTACATTTATTTCAGCTTGATAGTTTGAAAAAGATTGGTGGTTGTAAGCCAAGAGAACATGTTTTTTTGATCATGAAAAAATAAATGATTATGTTTTTATTAATTATTAGAAATATGATTAAAAGGGACCAAAAGCAATTCATTTTGACCGTTATTTGTTATGGATTTACTTTTAACATGACATTTTGATAAACTCGGGAGCTTCACTGTAGGTGTTTAAGTTTGTTTGAGTGCTAAAGTAAGTGTAATGCTAAACCTTGTTTAGCATTTTATTTTCAAATTTAATGCTTTTACTTTTCATAATTTTAAGCATTCATATATTAAAATATATTTTAATTTTTTACATATATTAAATAAAAATCTTTATAAATATATTTCAGTTTATTGTTAAAATATTTATCAGGTTATTTTCGAATCAGTTACAGTCCAAATTTAATCGAAAAGGAAATGGGGAAAAGATAAACTTAGAAAATCTAGTAAATATATGGAGTGTTTTACGAGGTATAGTTTTAATAGTATTTACAAAACTGATACCTGTATTAAAAAGATATTCTTCGACTTTTTTGTGTCATGCTAGAATTTTTGTATCCATTATACAAGTTCCTTTAGTTTTTTCATAAAAAATTTTTTGTTTATTATTGTATCTGGTTGAGATACAAATCTTCTTGTTTATATATATATATATATATATATATATATATATATATATATATATATATATATATATATATATATATATATATATATATATATATATATATATATATATATATATATATAATATATATATATATATATATATATATATATATATATATATATATAATATATATATATATATTTATATATTTATTTTTTTAATTCGCCTCCTCAAGGCCGAGAAGGCCACTACAGACGAGGAGGCTACTTATTTGTGACTATAACCCTCTCTCAACTCTATAACTCGGAAACACGAACCTTGGTGAACAAGGCCGCTGCGCGGAGAAACGAGTTGAGCGCGGTACTACCAGGGACGTGGTGGGGATCGAACTCCGAGCCACTCGTTTATGGAGCGAGCGTTCTACCACTACACCACTACCGCATTAATATATATATATATATATATATATATATATATATATATATATATATATACATATATATATGTATATATATATATATATATATATATATATATATATATATATATATATATATATATATATATATATATATATATATATATATATATATATATATATATATATATATATATATATATATATATATACATGTGTATATGTGTATATACAGTATTGGACAAAACATTTGCAACCAACATCGAACAATGCTAAAAAGTGTTCCTAATTTTATGTCTTAAAAATGAAACAAACTATACTACCACAGCAAACAGTTCAGGAGTCTGGAGTCATAGCATGCCATGATATGAGCAATCAGCTGACAGGTGACAGCACACAGGCAGAGTTTCGTTGACAAGTGCCATTTTGCAGCATACAAAACAAGTGCAACTTTTTTGGTTTGTTTCATTTTCTCAAGTCTGGTCCGTGTCAACGTCACGGAAGTTTTTTAACAATTAAAGGAAGTATCCAGAAGTTTCCAGAAGCATGCAGAAACTTCCAGAAGTTTCCAGAAGAAGCATCAGGAAGCATCCAGAAGTATCCAGAAACATTCAGAAGCATTCAGACGCATCCAGAAGCTTCCAGAAGTATTGAAAAGAAGCATCTAGAATCTTCCAGAACAGGTTCACACAGGTTCATTTTACTATATAAGAGACATGTAATTCAGTCAGTATATGGAAGTCAATCAGTCAGTATTATCAAGACAGTTTATCGAAGTGAGTCATCAAACTGTTTTATCGAAGAACATCAATACCAGAAGTGAAATACAACAAGTGTTTCATTGCATCAATACAGTCCACATCCAACCAAGACGTTATGTTCCACAGAGCCATATTTTATCATCACAAGGTAAATGTAACACGGTAAGCCTTGAGAAGTGTGGTTATTTATTTTTATTATTTTTATGACTTCAAGTGCAAAAATGGTTCCCAACAGTCTTGAATTGGAACTAAGAGAGAAAATTATGTCACAAAAAATAATTTGTGATAAATATTGCGTGAAAAAATAGATCGTATCAAGACAATGTTCCAAATATTGTTCCACAGGGAAGTTGGCAGCAGATAACAATGGTGGAAGACCTCATTCCACCACTTCTAGAGAGAATTCTATGATCGTCAGATCTGTCAAGAAAGATCCCTGGATATCATCAGTTGAGATACAAAAGCGTCTGGAAAATGCCTTGATTTACGTTACTGCCATAAGACCGGGAAGCATGGTGGAGGCAATGTAATGGTCTGGGGGTGTTTTTCTGCTAACGGTCTAGGTCCAATACATCGAATCGATGGAATAAAGGACCGTTTCATGTATAAAATTATCCTGAAAGATGTTATGTTACCTCATGCTGAATGGAATATACCAATAAAATGGGTTTTTCAGCAAGACAATGATCCCAAACACACTGCAAAAGTAGTCAAGCAGTGGTTTCAAGACAACCATCTATTGGTGAAGGATTGGCCGCCTCAATCTCCGGATCTCAACCCTATCGAGAACCTGTGGGAGATCGTTAACCGCAGAGTTAATCATGAATGTGTTTGTAATAAGGATGAACTGTTTGAACAAATCCAAAAGGCCTAGGCAGCGATTACACAAAGTTTCATTGATCACCTGATCGAATTTATGCTTTAAAGATGCAAGACTGTGATCGACAACAAAGGATTCACCACAAAATATTGATAGCAAAATACAGCTTGGTCAACATTTTGTGGAGTTGCACTTGTTTTGTCCAGAAGGAAATCAACTTTTTTTAATACTTTTGATTAATTTATTAACTTTCGTGTACAAATAATGAACTTTGTGATGAATAAAATTTGAAGAACGTTGTCTCTAAACAGTTACATAGTTATTTGTCTAAATTGAAAAAATGCAGCACTTTTATACAAAGAAACTAAATTAGCATCATTTGGTTGCACTGGTATATATATATATATATATATATATATATATATATATATATATATATAATATTTTATAAAAACAGATTCAGAATTCTACATGTCTTTTAAAGTCATTTAAATGTCATTAATGTTTATATTTTAGATTTCGGCGACGTGGAAGAAAATGTTGAGGGCAATGAAGAAATATAGTTTCTTATGTATATTTTTGTGAAATAAAAATTAAGTAATGTTAGTTAAAATGTTTCTTTACTTATTTAATTTAATCTTTTTTTATGACTAATTTAACCGCTGTAACACCTTTGTATCAAACAAGTCCCAGCAAACAAAAAGATATCTAAAATGCATCTAAAAACTGGTCTAAAAGACGTCTAAATTCACGTCGTGAACGGGATATAAATAGATGTCTATCTTATAGATTTCTTTTAGATGCATTTTATTCGACACAAATAAATGCCTTAGATGCATAAAAGATGTAAAATATACATTTAAAGATGTATATTAGATGCATAAAAGAGCTATTATCTAAAAAATTATCTATTATCTATCTTTTTTAAACGCGCCTTAGACATCTATTTAAGAGACGTATTTTATACATCTAATATGCATCTGTAAGATGTATATTTCACATCTTTTATGCATCTAAAGCAATTATTTGTGTCGAATAAAAGGCATCTAAAAGACGTCTATAAGATAGACGTCTATTTATGTCCCGTTCTAGACCTGAATTTAGACATCTTTTAGACCAGTTTTTAGATGCATATTAGATGCATTTTAGATATATTTTTGTTTGCTGGGTTATACACTTAAGGTCGTCTTCTGATAATATGAATACGCTAATTTAATATTATTATTAGTCGAGTTACGTCATTTTCTAGGCTTTTCTATTTTAAAGTAGTTTCTAGGCTTTACTATACGCGGTTTTTTTTTTAATTTTATTTACTAACAACGCGTATTACGGGTTGCTTACTGCTAGTTTAAATTAAAGGTTGAAATAAGTTACATATAAAACTAAAACATCCTATTGTGTAACTCAAACGTTTTATGCGTTACTCTCAGCCGATTAACACATAATATAAAAAAACAAAATAAATCAAAACCAAACAAAAAAAAAATCAAAATATGACATATTCATACTCAATATGAAAAATACACTAAAATCTTGTTAGAAATAAATAATGCACATTATAAACATGCGCAAAAAAGCTATAAATAAATTATATTACACTTGTTAAAATACCAGAAAGAAATCCAAACAAAAGCAACTATGTAATATGGTTGAAAAATACACTACGCCCAAATTTCATTTAGTACCAACAAAGCATTTTTGAAAAACACTAACCACAGTAAAAAATATGAAATTAGTACGATATGAAACGACAAAGCATATAAATTATAGTCCATTCAAGTTGGTTAAAAAAATCTTTAAAAATGTCACAAATTCGTGAATGTTAAAATACGCTCATTCTATTTCATTTCAAAATAGAAACGAAGCGATCATTGTAATTCTTTTAAAATAAATATGTAATTTCAAACATTAAATATGATTAAGTAATGCTCAAGTATTTGATGATAAAAAACAACAGTAGTACATGTATAAAAGCTTACAGTAGTCTGAGTACGAAGTTGAGTTGCTACAAACAGCGCTAATATTTAAATAAAAAACAGCAAACTTTCTTGAAAAACTACTTTCTGTTTTCTAACACATCACTCTTACTTTCTTACTCAATCCAGTGTGCAATGCTTGTAGTATTAACTTCCGAGAACAATTATCTGTATTTATTTACCTCCGGGAACGGTTATGTGTACTTATATGTTTAGAGTATAAATGCTTAACGCGAAATACTTTAGAGCAATCAGGACAAGTAAATTTAGGCGAGTTATCACCAGAATGCACTTTCATATGACTATTAAGGTGATCTTTCCTGACAAATCCTTTATGACATACATTGCATTTATGCTTCTTGTCTCCAAGGTGAATTAACATATGTTTTTTAAGGTTGTGCCAAACAGTAAAAGTTTTGGTACACTCGCTGCATGGAAAAAGTTGAGAATCTTTGTGTGATTGAGTATAGTGCCTACTCAAATCTTTAGAATTTGAAAAATCAATATCACACATTTTACATTTCCAGCGAGTAGGGGTTGAGGTAGCGCTTTCTAAGCTGTGGACTTTTTCGTAGTGTTGACGCAAAATAGCGGCTTCATCAAATATTATGTCGCATTTTAAACAATGCCATTTCTGAGAATCTCCAGTGCATTCTTTTTCGTGTATCTGTAACGTAAGTTCGTCTCGAAAAGATGACTTGCACGAAACACATTGTAAAATAGAATCTATAATCATAAAAACAATAAAAGTTAAATACCACTAGTAATCACTAACAGAGCTCATTATAAAAAAAAAAAACAAAAAAAAACGACGCAATATAAAATAACATAAAATAAAAGTGCTGAAAACAGTCCTACGTAAAGTATATAATGTAGGTATCTATAAGGGTAAAATAATATCGAACACCAGTGGAGTTACAAAATGCTTTAAAATGATAACATGTTAAATGATATCAAATTTTATTAATTTTTTACATATAATACTTTTTTTTTTGATAAAAAAAAACATAAACTTAAACCCGTCTATTTTACTATATTAAAACCAATGAATACAGCAAAAAATAATAATAACCTTGAAGAAAATTAACGAAAATAATCATAATTAAAAAAAATACAATCATAATAAGTAAATGAACACAAAAGAACAAATTTAAAAAACATAATAAAACAATACTAAAAAAAAATAAACACAAAAAACTTTAAAAAACAAACAAAAAAAACAAAACAAACAAACATAAGAACAATCTTAAGAAATTATGACAAGTAAATATCTATACAAAAAGTATAAGCAAATAAATTAGTAATTGAGGATTTAATATTTCATTACCTGCATTACCATTAACAGCAGATGGTATAGAAACTATATTACTTTCTGTTTCATGACTGGGACTTTCATCTTTTACCCACAAATCAAAATTATCGTCTAGAATAGTAACTGAGACATCATTTCTCTCATCAAGGTGATTTTCACTTTGTAATATTATATCTTTTTTATTGAGAGTAAAAACTTGCAAATTGTCTTTACAAGCACTTTGATCTTTGTGTGTTTTTGAATGTCTTTCATACATATCCATAGTTCTGAACCCTTTCCCACAAATTTTGCAACCATATTTACGATTATAATGAGTGTGCAAATGACTTCTTAGATGGTCTTTGCGCAAGAATGCTTTATCACAAAAAGAACACTTGTGCCTTTTTTCACCAACATGTATTAAAACGTGTTTACGCATGTTATACTTATCATTAAATTTCTTTGAACAGTATCGACATACAAATTGTTGATTACTGTCATGAACTGTATGTTGATGATCAGATAAAAGCTCTAGTGTTTTGAATAACAAATCACAAACATCACATTGGTATGGATATTCAGAGTTGGGTTCAGGATGCTGATGTTTGTTTGCCTTCTTTGAGTTTTTCTTTTCTACATCACATTTTTCTTCTTCTTCTAAATCTAATGGCTTCAAATGTATTTCATCTGAAATAGATTTTTCAGAGTTATTATCTATAAAATTTTCATTCCCTTCTTCATTTTCATTGTTTGTAACAGGATTTTTTTCTTCCTCATCAGAATATTGTATATCGTTGCTTAATTGGCTATCTGATTCTTCATCTAAAAAAACATCATTATAATCATCCTTACCATCATCACAACTTTAACAATATCATGATATGATGATCATCATAATAATGATGATCATTATGATTATCATCATGTTGCTAATCATCACTGCCATTATAATTATGATCAACATCTTAATGATGATCATGACCATGATGATGCAGATCATATTATTGATCATGATAATAAAGTTCATCATTATCATGATTATGATCTTATCAACATATCATCTTCAATATTTTTGTATGATTTTCATCATCATGGTCCTCATTATTTATATTTGATATATCTAACATAATAATATAACATAATAATAAACTATTTTACTAAACCAAATAAAATAAAGAGACAACAAACAAAGAACGAAGAAAGAAAGTAACCTCCGGTCTCTTCAAAAGCATTTTGGGGCTGAAGCTTAAAACTGCCATCATCCAGCAAAACACGTAATATCTTGCGTGGTAATTTTGACTTTCTACGCGCAGCCCCTACCATCTAGAAATTAATTTTTAGCCACTAAACAAATTATTTAAACATAAATTATTAAAACATGAATTATTTTAAGAAATTTGAAATATTGCTAAAAATAACAAGAATATTAAGAGCTTGTCATGTTCCACTACATCTCTCATTGTTTCATCATCTCTAAACATTACATCATTGTTACATCATCTCTAAACATTACATCATTGTTACATAATTACAGTTTTCCTTAGTTCTTATCTTAACATTTTTTCATGAAAAACAAACAAACAACAACTTGAATCAGATAATAAAGAAAGTGATGGATTTTATCTCAATGCAACCAAATCTGCTACAATTAAGCTTTAGAAGATTTTTAAAAATGAAAAGGTTTTGTAGAAGATCTATTATCATATTGCAATTGATGAAAAGCAAGTTGGCTAGCAAGCTAGAAAACTTGGCAAAAATATTATGTATAATAGAATACTTTTGTTAAGTGATTTATGTTCACTTTCAAACACAGGCATTAAACTTACAACAGAGAAGTTTGAAAGATTTCTTTCTTTTTTAAATACAATTTAAAAGCTTTTTCTTATTCTACATTTTAAGGTAGAGATCCTGAAGCTTCATATCACCTAATTCAAACTATTATGAAATTCTATGGGATTATTATCTTGAAGAGCAAAAAAATTATTTTAAAATGTCTTGATTGTTATAGCAATTTTATATGAATTGTATAATACTATAAGTAAAAAACTTAAATATAGGGAAAGTGGGGCTAGTTGCATCAGCTAATTTACATCAGCGCCATTTAAAGGATGTTTTTTAAGTTCAAAATTTCAAAATATTTTTATTTTATATTGCTTTAAGGATAACATGTCAACTCAAAAAATAAATTATAGCAAAATCTAAAAAATATTATTTAAATTAATTATTATGAAGTTTATTAGTTGATTATTAGATAATTGATGTGCACAATCATAGACATTAATTAGAGTGATCATGATGTCTATGAGGTAAGATGCATCAAACTCATAATTTGCCCAAGAGCAAAGTAAGTTACATCATTTTTTTAACTTTTTATTATAATTTCACAACTGTTGAATAACTATATATAGTTTTATACCTATCAATGTTGTTTTAATATGCCACTTAGACCTATTTTATTACCCCTTAAATTATTATCTTTTTAAAAAGTTCTTTATTGGCCTCACTATAGATCTAATAACCCTGATTTTTTATGTTGTAATCAAAGTATTTTTTATAAAAAATTTCCGTTTATAAATCCAAACTAATATTTTTTACAAAAACATGCATAAAATTATTCAATTCTGGCATGACTTGCAGTCAAATGCGCATTTTGTAACAGCTGTTTTATAATAATTAAATAGGATATACTTTAATCTATATATTTTTTAAACATCTTCGCTTCCAACAAGGCTGCAAGCAACCACTAATTAGTGTTGGAAGTTACTGGAAGAGAAAAGATGAAAATTTTAGAGCAAGATAATGGTTGACAGACGACTTAAAAGATTGCAAATTATATGAATCAGGAAAGCAAGATGAAGGAAGCGAATTCCAAACAACTGATGTTCAAGGGATAAAACTAGACAAATAAGAGTTTTTTGGGCACTTAAGAACAGAAACAGAAAAAGGATGAGACTTAATTGAATGACAAGTAATACGAGAATGAATTTTAGTAGATGGCACAAGAGACACTACTTCTTTAGAGCAATGTCCATTATAGTATTTGTGGAAAAGAAAAAGAGAAGCAACATTACGATGATGTGACAAAGGTTGAAGGTTGGCTGCAAGAGCAGGTCCAATTATGTTTACAATGCATTTTTGTACCTTGTCTAAAAGAGAAAGGGCATCATTAGATGATCTGCCCCAGATATGGCAACAGTATTCCATACAAGGCCGGATTTGAGATTTATAGAGATAGAGAATAGAATCCAGAGTAAGAAAGTGTCAAGCTCGATAAAGAGATGCAACTTCAGCAGATGCTAATTTTGCAACAGATTTGATATAAAGTTTCCAAGAAAGATCAGAAGTAAGAGTTAATCCTAGAAGATGAAACGTAGATGACTCATTGAGTACATTACCATTCATAAATATAGTAAGGTCTAAATTATTGCGATAACGATTGGCCGAAAAAAAATTGAGTTTTATCTGAATTAAAGTTCACCAGCCACTGTGAGTCCCATGCTGTAGCAGAAGTGAGATCCTTTTCAAGCGCAAATGCCCCCTCCAAGCAATAAGAGGGAATTGGCTTCTTATCATGACAAGAATAAATGGTAGTATCATCAGCGAACAATGCCACCTGTAAAAATATATGAAAGATCGTTAATGTAAATTAAAAAGAGTATAGGGCCAAGGATTGAACCTTGAGGAACCCCTGAGGTTACAGAATAAGAAGACAAGTGCTGTTTATCAAGGACAACTTTTATACTACGATTGGAAAGGAAGGATTCAATATTTTAAATAAAATATTTATATTTATAAATATATAAATATTTCCAGATACACCATAAGAAGAAAGCTTATGGAGAAGACCAGCATGCCAAACTTTATCAAACGCATTAGAAATGCACTTCTGAAAGACTATAACAGGTATATTGTCCGGGCCACAAGTTGTACAAGAGTCTAAGCAGAAAATCACTTTAGACACAGAAGCTGGAATGATATGGATGTTGAGCAATGAATCAACCTGTTTGACGGCTATATCAGGGCTATTTAAGGGGTAAACAGATTCTATCTATTGTCCAGCCTCGCACCCCATCTATTAGGCTGGCGCAGATGTATTTTTAATACATTGTTTCCAGTTTAGGATGTTGAATGCTGGATCTTCTTGACTCGATGCATGAGTTTTGCTTGTGTCTCTGTTTTTATGACTAGGCAACTCATTCTATTATCTCCTAATGAGGGTACAGCTCTAAAACTCAGTTTTATGGTTCTGAGGCCGGCTGGCAGTCAGGTTTCCCGAACTCTGTGGTAGCTCTCAGAGAGGCTGATTCTGCGGTCTTAATAAGCTTGGGGTAGGTGATAAAATTTTTCAAAAATCCCCTCCTTTTGCTAAGGAGTTGAGAGTACTAAGTATATATTTTTATTTGTGTGGAATAAAAACTAGAGCTAGAAAAAATTAAAGTTAAAAAAATAATATTAAAGAACAAGGAAATGGTTGACAGAAAACTTGAAAAGTTGTAGGTTGTATGAGCCAGGAAAACATAAAGATGGGAGAAAGTTCCAATAAAAAAAGAGAATGGGTTTCACTTAATGGAATTAGATATGATGGCTCCATTTAGCAGCAACCATGATAGTATTTGAAGAAAAGAGAAAGTAATGCATCTTTAAAACAATAAGAGAAAGGTCAAACTTGGAAGATAAAGCAGGTCAAACTACGTTTACAATAGATTTTGGGACCTTATCTTGAAGAAAAAAGAGCATCATTAGAAGAACCAGCCATTTAAATATGACAGTACAGGGTCAAATAAGAGACTTGCAAAGGTACTGAATGAAATCAGGTATAAGATATAGGTGAGCATAATAAAAAGAAACAACCTTAGCAGATACTAACTTTGCAATCGATTGTATATATAGTTTCTATGAAACATCAGTAATGTAGGAATATCAAAGATGTCTCATTGAGAGGGTTGCCGTTCATTAAGTTAAAATTCACAAGCCACTGCAAGCCCCAAGCTGTTACAGAAGTGAGATCAGATTCAAGATTGGCTGCCTAATCTAAGCAATTAAGAAGAAAAAACTTTTTGTCAAGACAGGAGTATAAAGTTGAGAAGCCAGCATAAAAGAACCACTTTAGATTAAGATAATCAAGAAGATCATTTATGTAGATAAGAAACAATAAAGGACTAAAGATAAAAACTTCTAGTTCGAGGTACTCCAGTAGTTACTGGAAATAAAGAAGAGTATCGGCCTATGAGGATGACTATAATAAAGCAGTTAGAAAGAAATGATTTGATAATCTCAAATGTTTTTCCAGATATACGATATGAAGCAAGCTTTTGGAGAAGACCAGCATGCCAAATTTTATCAAAAGCTTAGATATGTCAAGAGCAATAGCCCTTGTTGTACCGCCTCCATCTAATGCACAATCTTTCAGTCAGAGCAGTTAGCAAGTCAGTCATAGAAATAACAAGGGTAAAATACCCAGCGCTTGCCATGCGCTTAGTCATTGCCCTTTGGTCACTAAATTACATGATGACCAAAAACTAATTGCTAGAAAAGTTCCGAAAAATGTTTAAAAAAATATCTTCATATATTTTTAAAAAAAGTATTACTTTTTACTTTTGTTTGCAAATATATTAAAAATATCTACTACTGTAGAAAAAACAAAAAATCATTTTAAAAAGTTTAATGAATTTACCATGATTTTTTCTATAAGCAAATTAAACTCTAATTTAATTAAACCAGGGGCTATTCTAGGAAAATATTGGCAATATTTCCGCTATAATATATTTGTTGTAAAAAACGTAAAAAAAAACATAGATAAAAATAAATGTCCAAAAATCAGCGTCCAAATATGGTTGACACTGTCAAAAATGGTCTAGAATAGCCCCTTATGACATTTCCATGATTTCCATGATCAGTGGCCAACCTGCGGGTTTGGCAGTGGCCCCCTGGCTAAATACTGAGCTAACAATTCATCAGCTCTCTAGGGTCAAATTTCTTTGGACATAAGAGATTTAATGAATAAGTGACAGTTTTTAATTAGTACTAGGATATAAGAACCTGACTTATATATTAAGTTCACACCTTCAGCAATTTCTACCCACCAAATAAATATAATACTTAGCTTATGCATACACTTACATATCAATTTTATTTGCATTTGTTGTCTGGTTGAAATCTGTTGCTTCTCTTTTGCAATTTCTCAGTCCTTGAGTTAATATCTAGTAACTAGACATCCTGATTCTAGACAAATCTGACTTCTCTCATTAATTCTCTCTTCTTTTTAACAAACATCTTTTGATGATAATACTAAGTTAAAAAAGTATTGTCTAAAGATCATTACC